AGAGAGAGAGAGAGATGATAGATACAGATACAGATACAGATACAGATACAGATACAGATACAGATACAGATACAGATACAGATACAGATACAGATACTGACATGTATGTATGCCTACTCATGAAATCTTATTGATCTTGCAAAACACTAAGGTGCTTATTGTATTGATTATTGCACTGCATAAGTTACTATAGTTTTCCAACCTGAAAATTATTATAGGTGAGTGGTGTAATCCAGCTGATTCTTTAGGAGGCACTGGGGGTCTTGAAGTACCTGGAGAAAACAAGAGACCTCTGGAATGGAAGACAGCCAGAATGCATTTGTATCCAGTGTGGGTTTTAGCTTTGGTATTGTAAAACAGATGATGAGCAGAGGATAGGTGGAGCTTTATATCCAATCATCCAAATAAAGCATGCTAAAATTCGTGTGCTATGAATTATGGACCTCAAATAGAAATGAGATGGGCAACTATGACTCCAGAAAATGTGTTGAACAAAAGAGCTATTTCAGGAGTGGGGTGGCCATGACAGGAATGTCACTGTGGGAATGTCATCTGATCTCAGGGAGATGCACAGTTCACACTGAACCAAGAAGATAATACATTTGCTTAGATTCCCACCATTATTTCTCAGATAAGGAGGTGGGTTTCTGGCATTAGAAGGGTGTGGCTGATGCAAGTATGTAATGTGTAATGCAATTCTCATTTGTGTAATGAAATCATCACATACATATCATCGTTTTCCTCTCCTTGTCTCTCATTATGGAAGTCTAGAGCTGTGATAGGAGAATCACATATGATGTTTCCAATGCAACTGTAATGTATGAGGGCATACTGCACCCATTTACATTTCTCCATCTGTTTACCTACCATACTGGAGACTGATAATGCTGCTTCTATGAAAGCAAAATGTATCCATCAGCTAAATGCCAGAAGCTCTGCCCTTGCCAACAAAAGAAGACAGAGTAGGGATCATGCACTGCACATGCTAAGGTTTCCAGTAATATAAAAGCTATTCTTTTGCACCCTTTTCTGCCTCCCCTACAGTAATAATATTAAATATCTTGATCTTAACTGAGCTAAAAATTCTGAATACATTGTTCATTGTTGATTTGTGAGAGCAGTGGGCATTAACAGGCATTTCTCTGACACTGAATTTAATTACTACATCATCTTCTGCAAAAGAATGACCCTTTATTAAGGTACATTGAAAGATGTTTAATAAACAGTGAATCTAGATGATTTAGCTGAATTTTCTGTTTGCATGTCTCCTCTTCCTTGCCAACGTGTTGTTCTGTCCTTTAGATTATTGTAGCACTGTGCTACGTAATCCAAGTGGCCATTTCTGCTCCGATAATTACCCCCATTCATATCCCAACAATGTCACATGCCTGTGGCTCATCCAAAATCTACAAGGAAAGGTAAGATGTTCAAATCAGGTTTTCCAATTGATACATCAGAGTCAGCCAATAATATCTAGATGTGATACAAAATGTAGCTATGGATAATGGGGGAGCCATGTTTCCTTGTTGTTACTTGTAAACTTTAGGGATGTGCATTCTAAGGATCTTTGAAAGTAGATTTCTTCTAGTTCATCAGCCACACGTCTAGGCAGAAAGTCCCATATCAGAAGTAGAAATACTTCTCCAGCCTGAACTCCACATTTCTTCATGACTGCCCTTCCATGGGCTCTCTGACCAGGGTGAGCAGGAACAAAGTAAAATGTGGATAGAGTTAAAGCAAAAGAAGACAGGGCCACAACACATTTTCACTCATTTACACGTACATGCGTACACATGCAGTAGACAGCCACACACACAAAAAAATCCTGATACATTCATTCATATCCACACAAGCATACATTTAAATGTTCATGTTCACACCTACTTTCTCAAGTGTTGATTTACCGGGGTAACAGTACCTGGGGAAAAGAAAATTTAATGTTTAATTTCATTGACTAAGATTTTATTCCAACTTTTTTTTCTTTATCTTTAAATGTTTAACTTATCTAAATCATCAGAGTGTTAATAATCTCCAGTCAACACTTTATAAACACCACTGTAATATAATGTACCACTTGGGTTTTCAAAAAATATTTATTGTGTTTTATAATAATACAATAATATATTTAAAAAGAGCAAAAAAGATTTCCCTTTCAAATGTCCCCCAACCATGGCATTTAGATTTGAAAATAACCTTTCTTAGAGCTAAGTAGAAGCTTTTTCCCAAACCTAATTGTTGTGCATACTTGAGGTGACAGGATGCTTCAAGGCAGAAGGAGGATTAACTTGAAAAAAAGAAAAAAAAACTTTCATTGAACCAAACCCAAATACTATGCAGGTTTATAAATGCTTTGCCTATTTTTGCTTTAAAATGTGTATTAAGCAAGAGCACCTGCAAAATGTGAATTCTCCCTCATAATTTCTGGGGAGGATACTTGCAAATCTATTGGAAAGGATATCAAAATGAAGGATAGATGGGTTTTATTAAAATATATATATATTTTTTTACTGTTTTACTTCACCTTTTCTGAGGAGAGATACTTCAAAGTACCAAGAAAGTGGAGGTCATTGGCCAATCCTCTTTAGAAGCCTTTAACCCAAAATGCATACTAACGAAAGAAACTGTGACAATTAAGAAAGAAAAACAAACACTGTCTTGGATCATCTTTCTCCAACTTGACAAGCTCACCAAACAACTATAATTTCTAAAAATGTGGGAGGGCAATGGGTTGGGAAAGGCTGATATATTTTCAGTGGAGAAGTATGGAGCATTTATCCAATTTTCATTTCTGTTCTTGGGCTGGTGCTTTTGCTTATACAGTTTTGCATATGGAGTTAATAGATCTTCATTGACTTTCATGTGTCAGTATTATAAACCATTCAGCAAGCCATTTCTCAGATTTAACAAGAGCCACTTGAGAAATCTGTGAGCCAGAGCTGACCCAAAATCCAGTGCAGGCATGGATATGTTTGGGAATATGTACAAAGCTAAACAACTTGAGAAAACGATCAAACAAGGAGAACACATTTTTTAAAAAGAAATTACTTGAATATAAAAAGTTTTCTTCAGTGGTCTTACTTGCTCATTCTCACATTTGTTTTCTTGCTGTTGAATTTCGTGATGTATCAGAATTCAGTGAAAAACATAGTTACTGACACAGTGCTATGCTCTACATATTCCATGTACAGAACCATATTCATTATCTTTACTGCTGATTTTGCTTTAATTTTTGCAGTGAATAATACTTAATACTTAGCAACTTTTTAAATGAATCTCATAAAAGAAACAGGTAGATTTATTTAAATTATTTGGTCTATTTCAGTCCTATGTGTAACCAGCTACTAACCTACTAGAAGGTAGTTGACAACAGAGCAACACTCTTTGAAAGCTTATGGTATAATTAGAGATAAACAGTATGTTTTTATGCTCAGACAATAAGCTGAAACAGAGATGGCGTGAGCTTTATGCTTAAATGCTAATTAAAAAGAAAAGAGCCTTTAGAACTCTTTATGGAAAAGTTAGAGTACATGGATGGATGGATGGATGGATGGATGGATGGATGGATGGATGGATGGATGGATGGATGGATAGATAGATAGATAGATAGATAGATAGATAGATAGATAGATAGATAGATAGATAGATAATGAAGAGACTATAAGGAAATTCTGTTGCACTGCAGAGTATAGAATTAGTTGTTAAACAGATTAGTCCCATCATGTTCAGCATCTCTGTATCAACCAGCTCTTAATTCTGATGCAGAATGAAACATATTACATACATGGCAAATAATACATCTATAGTATGATTGGGGTGTGATCAGCTATATATGATGAGGGTTTTTTTTCAGCAGCTTCCCTGTGGTATGTAGCATGTGCTATGTCAGTTAAGGTATAGTGAAATATAAGAAGATACATTTAATAAGAAACAGATTTAAATAACTTAAAGCTACTTATTTTTCTTATTCTGCTTTAGGTCTTCTTGAGTTTTCATGTTCTTGATCTCCAAAATTCCCCAAACTGCTCCTCTGATTACATCCGAATTTATGATGGAAGCAGTAGAGAAGGCCAGATTCTCATTGACAAGTTTTGTGGGACAGGGCAATTACCTGCTGTGGTGGCTTCTGGGAACACAATGCTTGTGGAATTTGTAAGTGATGAGGATGAGACTGCAAGAGGGTTCATGGCCTCCTACACACATGGTACGAACAGTATTCAAGTCTCATTGCTAGTATTTGTGAAGTGACAAAGCAGATCTATGCAAAACAAATCACTTGCAATGGTTTTGCAAGATTATCTGTAGCATAGGTTAATTTTACACCTTCCTTTGGAGAATCTCATCAAATTCTCTAAGTGCAACTTTATGACCTCTAATTCTTCAAACTCTATGACTTCTAATTTGGTGCTTATCTGCGAACCAGTTTGAATTCCAGTTTACTCAATTCCACTAAATATCAATGCCACTAAGTTCAAAGTAGCCCAAATTTTTTCAGGCCTATCACCCGGTAGGAGGATGATAGTCCTAGGATGAAGTTATCCGCTTTGTCCTTTATCATTATTATTTCAGACTTGTGAATTGGCACAGGATTTCAGAGTTTGCCATTGTCCGCCACCCATGAAGCATGGTATGGATCAATAATTGAACTGGCTGATCTCTCACATGTCAGCAGCCACCTTCTATATCACACTTGGCTTCTGCAGTTTCTATTTCTACACTAACCAAGAAAAAAGTGAAAAAGTAATAACAGTTTCCACTGCTCTACAAAGATTTTTTTACCAAGTCTTGTATTCCTACTTACTCTCAACAACCCCATAACTAAAATGAAAAAAAAAAATATCTTGTTAAATGTGTAGGTAATGAGGTACTTTTGTGTTAATCTTTTTTAATTTATTTATCTGAAGTTCTCTTTTCTTAACCATAGTAAAATGTGGAGGAACATTCACTAATACTTCAGGAGCCATTACTACTCCAAACTTTCCTAAAAGATACCCTCCAAATCAAGCTTGCCTGTGGATTATTAGTGCTCCTCCAGAAAACAAGGTAAGAGGCAGTTGTGCAAGGGACAGTGATAGGGCTTTCTATGGTAAAAGGTCAAAACGGTCCTACTACTTATTCTGTTGAATATAATGTGTTGTTTCTGTAAAACTAAAAGTATAGTCAAATCCCTTTTCCATTAATAACAAGGACAACCGTGGGTAGAGGTTAAAAAAAGTCAAAATGGTGACTGCAACCACATGATCAAAGCCTCCCAACTTTTTTTGTACAACACACATAAAAATGGGCAGAGTTTTGATCACACAGCACTGGCTTTCATCTTGACTGTTTTGACCTACCACCCCCACTCCCACAAACACCCCTGATTATGAAGAAATTTGCATTCCATTTGTCCTATAATTTGAAAACATCTAAAGAAGCAAATTATTAATGTGTTCAGAATAGAGTACCAGATTATATACTTTTCTAACTGAATCAGGTATATTTCTCTTAGGGACGAGCCCAGATGAATCAAGAAATGCATAAATATTTTTAACTTATTTTGTCTATTTGTTAGCAAAATAGTAACTATTCTCTCATCCTGTTTTAATTATAAATCTTTATGGTAAAATCTGTATTTATTTGATTTAGGGATAATCAGAAACCTAATTTGTTTTAGTGAGTCTGGAATTTGTGAGCCTGAAAATATTTTATTAACTGGTAACATAGATTTGCTATTATTGATTTTGAATAATATTCCAGCCAGTCATATCTAGGAATTTGCATTTTTTCATAATTGTTAGGACATTGTATATTTCATATTTTGTTATTATTTGATTAAGGTAAAATATTGATACTCTTTCTAACCATAGGGCTTGGATCATATATTACACTAAACAACGATTGATGGGTTTGTACAGCATGCTAAGTCATAAGTCATAATTTTTTAAATATAGTGGCTCAGTTCACATAAATGATTTGTAAGAATCTAATCCAAATCCTGATTCTCACTGTTCAAACTTATACTGTGATGCCAATTTTAGATTAAATGTACTCACAATCGTGTACCTTTTTCTGGATTCCTCAGATATCTTTAACCATGACCTCTTTTGAACTGGAAGACATTGATGGCTGTAGATATGACAGACTTGTCCTTTATGATGGCAGCCAAAACAGTTCTCCACTTATTGGCACTTTCTGTGGAAAAATGGAAGTTCCCCGCTACACTTCAACTGAGAACTTTCTTCGTATAGAGTTTTACACCGACTTTGCTTTTCAGTTTTCTGGATTCAAACTGGACTACTCAATTGATTAAGCAGAGCTTCTAGAGTATCTGAGCTTTAGTTTGGGGTGTGTGTTGTGAAAAATTATCGAACAGTGAATATAATATAGTTGGCTTAATAAATAATTGAATCACTTATGTAATCAGAAGTTTTATTCTATTCTGTGCTTCCAACACATTAGAGTTTTAATTACTGGGATAGATAACATCAATTCAAAAGAATTTCAAGAGTTTATTTATGCAAAGCTTATTAAAAACAAGACCACACATCTTATTATACCTAATCTGTAAAATTGATTAACACAAGGCATGGAGATAGCTACTAACTTGAATAGCTTTAAAAAGAAATTAGATAAACTCATGGAGGACAAATCTCTCAAGGGCTATTTGTCATGAGACTCAGTATTGCCACTGGGTTGAAGACTGCATGTCTCCAAAACCATTTTCAGGGGAAAAATTGCATCAGAAGAAAATGTCTTTGTCTCATTCTTGTGAGCATCCTGGAGTCATCTGGTTGGTCACTGTGAAAAACAAAATACTGCTGACTAAAATGGACCAGGAATGAGGTTGTCAAGAGAGAACCAGCATTTTCCATGCTTGAAACTTTATGTCAATTTAAACCAGTTACCTCCCATGGCCTTGAAAACAATGGCCAAATGTCTGTTGACTTGGAAAGACAGGAGGAAAAAACCCTGGAAATTAAACCCTGGAAGACAGAGACTTTGGTTGCTATGTATTGCAGTAGGCTGATCTTCTGTGTGTCCGTGGTTCCATTCTTGTCCATAAAGTAGAAACTAATCTAGCCCAGTTGTATCTGCAAGCCTTCTGCTAAGAAGCAAGTTCCTGATCACAAGTTTAAGTGTCATGAAAATCAAGACTGAAGCCAGACAGTACACTTATGTTGTATCATCATCCATCATCATCATCATCATCATCATCATCATCATCCTCTCCAGTGGTCAGAGAGAAAGGCAAGGTGGTCTTTTAGAACTGGGATGGGCAAGGGAGATAAAGACCATCAATGTATTATTAAGTTTCATTGTGGCTTAGACAACTATTGCATTTTTCAAGTGCATTTCAAACAACTAAAATTCAGTGAGCTTGAGCTTATAGGGAGAAAGTTTGATGGTAGATTTCTTAAACTCTTCAGTCCCTTATTGTAGTTCTTTTTAATTATAGTTGTACTGTGTCTAGCCCTTAGATTAAATTCTTCAGATTAAAAAAAAATGCAAATGCCCTCTTGCAAATCCTTTTGGACAGATTTTTCCATTGTTTGGACTACAAGGTTGATGATGATGACGATGATCTGCCATCAAGTCATTTTCGACTCCTAGCAACCACATAGATTTTCTCCATGATGATTGATCTATAACCTGTTCTTCCAAGTCTCCCAAGGGTGCACTCATTGCCACTGTAACTGAATCTATCCACCTTGCTGCTCTCCATCTTCTTCTTCTCTTTCCTTTCGCCTTTCCCAGCATTAGAGCCTTTTCCAGAGTACTCGGTCGTCACATAATGTGTCCAAAGTAAGATAATTTGAGCCTTGAGTGAGAAGTCTGGTTGATTTGTTTGATGATTGTTTTCTTGGCTGTCTTCTCCAGCACCAAAGTTCAAAGGCATCACTACTCTTCCTATCCTGCTTCTTCAAAGTCCAACTTTTGCTTCCAT